GAGCTACTCAATCACGAGAATTTTTTAAAGTTTTGAAAGTGTCAACATTTTTTGTTACGATTTTTGCAGAAAATCGAAATCCTTAACAAGCTTGCGAAAAAAACTCTACTAAATTTGGGAAAAAAGATGGAATCACATATTATTTTGGCACTTACCTATCAAAGATAGATAGGTTGTTGAGAAAAATAATTTTGTACAGTATTTAAATTCAGAGATGCAATGAAGTGCTCCAATTTTCATTTACGCCACATGTCAATGAACCCCTCCCCCCCCCCAAAGACCCATCATCTTTTGGAAGGCTCTTTGAATGGATAGAAAAATGTAATTGAATGGGTATAGGGAAAATGAGTGGGATATACGATCTGCATATTTCCAAACATGTATGTAAAATTTAAAAATTTAAGACATTTTCGTAAATGTTTAAATTTTTCATACTAGACAACCTGTGTAGTGATTTAAACTCCTGTAACGTTCTCATCTTTCCAAACATGATTGTGATCAATATTGCCCTGATTTCCTGATTCCATTTCCATGAAAATTGTTACTCTTAAAGTTTCATCAGTCTTTCTTCTAAGCCTATAAGGTAACTGACTTAGGTAGGTAATATAAATTATTTGGTGAAAGTTCATGTTTGACGAGGAATAAAATTATTTCCTTTGATGGCTTTTAACTTAAATACAAGCTGGACAAAATTTAAATGAATTCAAGAGGGGGGGCTTAGGGATCAAAGACGGAACTGTCTTATTTCCAGGAAATTTTCAAGGAGAAGTAATATCTGTATAACATTATCTTGCTGGTGATAATCACTCATATGTAGTTCAAGAAGCATTCCTAGGATACCTTTCCATGTCTCTGCACATAATTTTTCTAAAAACTTTGATCCCTTGGGTAGGGGTGTTCAAACGAATTCTTGCCGGAACACTATCGACATCGTCTCTTATTGAAACTGGCGGCAGTACCGACAGTGGCCATGATATCGACAACAGCCGGCCTTATCGGAGTTTTGAGAGCTCGCACTCAATACATTGTTGCCCCGTGTGTCGGTTTATCAGATTGCCTGGCGCGGTGGCGCGTAAAATAGATGTACAATTGGCAACAGCTTATTTTCGCCAGCTCCGAAAACTCTGATCGCTATCGGTAAGAGCGCTCTTATCGTAACTTTTTCTTAACGGAACTGTTTCGGTGGCTTACCGACAACCGATTGAACAGCCCTACCCTTGGGTAGTTATAATTTTTTGTTTTGTAAGAATGCACAGAAAAGCTTGGGACGTAAAATTTTATTTCATAAATGGCTCATCTCGATTTTGGACCAATTTTCACCTTCTGAATGCCCAATACCCTTCTTCTTGTTTCTCAAAAGTCCTTCATTTAATTTGGCCAAAATTTTTCACTGACTGTTGTACTATCATGTACTTTGCCTTGAGCTACATTTGGTCCAAATCCACAATATTCATTTTGGGAGGTGTTTTCTTGACAAGGCTCTTTCATTTTAAAATATTTCCATGGACAGCCCTTTGAATGATTTGGCAAATAAATTACAAATCTGACGATCCTCTTGGAATAGGAACTCTAAAAATTTAGAGGATTCTTCCCATTCCTACGGTTAATATACTCAAAAATTTCTCCTTAAAAAGGGTTTCCTATCGGTCTATTATGTATTGTAAATACAGCTGCCAAAGGACAAACAACCTTGACGACCAGTATTTCGGAAAAGTGGTTGTAAAAAAATCCCTCTGACATGGGAGCATATCAGTTTGGGAAAAAACTGAGCATGATTTCTTATTGAAAGAGGATTCACTGGATTACTTTTGCTGAATCAATATCAAATTTATGGTGTTTACGAGGATCTTCTAGAAATCAACAGTCTCATTTCACTGTACTTTTAAAACCGACGTGGGATAAAACAACACAAAACAGGTGATGAATATGAATATATGAGGATCATTTTGATTGTGTTAAAAAATTGTCTATGAGATGGCTGAATGAGTATTTAACAAATAATAGAAAGGTAATAATTATTGAAGTGAGACAATAGAATATAAATTATGAAAAACACTAAATAAATATAAAAAAAAGAAAAACTGACTTTTCAGTTCTGAAAAGTTCATGGTTTAAAACATCACATCAAAAGAAAAATAAAACCTTCGACTATAAAGGTATTTCAGTGCTATCACACACTTGCTATCTTACACTGGCACACTAATCCATAACCTATTATGACGTTGTATCTCAAACCATGGTTATTCTTAATAGATGATATGCTTGTGTTTCGGCTCATTCTCTCTTCAAAAATTAAGGCGATCATCTTGGGGTCCAATTGTGGTTAAACATAATATGATACATTGCATCAGTTTGATAAAAAAAAATGTAGTTAGAATTTTAGTGGTGCGTCTAAAAAAGATTAAATCCCTCGAGCACAAGTCTAAAAGAATCACGTATATATGGTGAAAAAAATTACGAGGTGATAAAAATTAAAAGCAGCCTTTGTCTACAGAAAACATTAAACAATGGAAGTCAATACTAAATTCAGTGTTAAATGCTAGATTTTCCAATGTTAATTTCTGTTTTGATTTCTTTCAATTTTGTTACCTATTTTAGTGTGCATAATTTTTTGAACCCTTGTGCAGGGATTATCAACTTAGCTTGGGAGTAAAAGTCAGAGATTGCTCAAAATTTTGACCTACCTGATATGATTCGTAGGAAACCAGATTAACCACAATCGGACCTAAGCTCGTATGATATGAGAGGACTCGGATCAGTAGGTGTCTGTAAGTTTAAGGAAAGACCTGGAGTTTATATGAATAGATGAATAAATGTACGAAGTAGCCGAACAAATTGATGAGAGAAAAAACACAGACTGGATGATAGCTTAATCAATACACATTTACAGACCAAGTACAAAACAGAGAAAGACAAAAAAAAGAACCCCTAACTTTGTGTGTATAGTATCAGGATCACTCAGGATTTTTACTGAAAGAAAAGCTAAATTTATTGCATGTCTTTTACCACCCATGAATCTTTGACGTTTTGGATCTTCCATACATGAGCTTTTCAATTTTAACCGCATGAAACTTGGTCTAACACTTAAAATGTCTTAATTTTGATGATAAGTGACTCATTTGAAAATAAAATAACTTGTGAGCATTAGAATGTAAATGCACCGAGGCCACTTTTAAATTATTCCTTTCCTTTAATTTACATTTGGTTATTCAGGTTTCTTTCTAAACTAGCAACTAGTACATGTTGCAAAACTGAGAAAGCAAAACTCGTACAGGATGTTAACAATTGATTCTTAAATGCGTAGCTTTTCTAACGATCCATGAGTTTAATGAAGCATAAGGATTTTGGACGATTCGATCAAGACTAGATGACTTGAGTTTAGCGGCTGCTTGATGTACAAAATATTTTCTCTTTTTTCACCTGCAAGTTAGGTATGCTCCAAACAAAACTTGACGATTCTTCGCTCTTTCAAACATAACAATTTCTGGGAAATTTTTTGAGTTTTTAATCAACAATCTGTCTACAAAATCAAGAAAATATTGGGCTCTTTAAAAATCTCATCGAATGATAAAGAAAAATATGCAATGGGACGAATACTGGAAGTCTCACCCGAACAAATGGGAGATGTTCCAATACGTTCATTGCACAAATGCACATACATTGTTTTCACAAAAAAGGCTTTAATTACTGATCATGTACTATTCGTTTTTCAACAGGATAGAAAAAGACAAAATCAAGGAAGACTTTAGTGTGATTAATGAACAATAAGCCAACTTCAAAAGATTTGAGAATGGTTAAATGATGAAACAACAGAAGTCCTTGAACTTAGAACTATTCCAGGCGAGGAAGAAGAATACATATAACTAAGCATGAGCTTCAATATTCTATGTTGCGTTTCAGGGGCCTTTACACTTTGGAAGGGCTGCTGGACGTCATAAAGCAAAAAGAATCTGTCTACAAAAAGAATTCAGAAAAGACAAAAACCTATCGAAACGATTTCTTTGGCTACATGTTGTTTTTGAAATGCCCTCTGCATATTCATTCCTTCTGCAATTCTTCATCAAATTTTCTGTTTCCTTGTTTGCAAGACCTTTTGATTATTGTTCGAAGTACATGAAATTCAGTAGAGATCCAAAGTCATCTTATAGAATTACAAGCGAAGCACACAGTCTTCGCTCGACTGACAGAATTACAATCAGCACTTTTTTTTACAAATAAAATATACACACAATTAAATGGAAACTTAGCTTAAATTAACAAAGAGTCTCTGGAGATACTAATCATTAAAAAATTATTAATTACAATCACAGCAAAAAATATTTACAGTTTGATCCAAAGTTGCCAGTAACGATAACAAAAAGACAGGTGCCCAAGTAAGAATTTCATAAATTATTTAAGCAAAATTAGGCTGGCAGTCGTCACATATTTGCACTGAACAAGATTTGGCAGTATTCCCCTGGGCTAGAGATTACTCAGTCAAAACTTCAACTATGACGATCAGTCTTTACCCATGTCTACCTGCGATGACAAAAAAATAGTGATACCATCCAAAATTAGATGAATACAAGTTTACAATGTCAGGTTCATTTAGCAGACTGAGAGTTCAACATGCAAATCTTGAAGAATGCGAGGAATTTCAATGAGACTCTAGACAATAGTATTTCACTGAAAGTATTCATTTTTCACCTCCTTGCGCAAATATCAAACCAAATACCTGCCAGTAGCTTTAAGATTGCTCAATTACATGGTTATCATCATTGGTTCCAATCGAAATTCCTCATTACACTTTGCAAATTGTAAAATTTTGATCACATACCAACATTGTTTGGACCACGGATTATGCTTCAGACCCTACCGTTACAGTCTCGAGCAGATGCTGACTGGCATCGTATGTCATCACTTTGGGTGCCACGTATCCGCCGGAGTTCTGGCATCCTCTGTGATAAATTCCGACGCCAACTAGAGGAGTGGCAGGACTCGGTGCTACCGACTGAATATCAATGAACGGAACCGTTGTCTGTGCAGCATCAGCATCAATATCCGAATTCACAAACTTTATGAACATATTCGAGGTCGAACGTACCGCCGGACACCCGGGCAGAGCAGCCATTGGATCATCAGGTTTCTTCAATATTAGCTCCTCTCTGAAAACAAAAGTTTAGACTCATGATAAACTATAGGAGACAGACAGTGGCTCCTCAAAGTTCTTTACAGTCTGGTTACTAAGCCATGTTTTTATTTTAAAACGTTTTATAAGACCAACTACAAAGAAAAGACATAAAATTCATTAAGTGATTTAGATGCTTGTTTCTTCAGTCTTACCGTTGAAATTCTCTCCAAAAAAAAGAATGAATCAACAAGCCAGCAAGAAAAATAAAATTGAAGAGTAAATACCTAACCCATATGGGGCAAAAAATAGGGACAACTGGGTAAAATTTGTCTCTATCAAAATGGGATGGCAAATCCTAGGACTTACCTCCCTGAGGTTGTTTCAAAATAACCAAGTTAATATTTAGTGAGAACATGTATTACCTTGGAAATGCAACAGATCCATCAGTATTGTCGTTACCAAGCCATATTTTCCTCGTTGCAGGTTTCACCAATTTTCCTGTGGTTACATTGAAAAGAGAGCATTCTGCTTCTAAGTTGAGATGGTCACCAAGTTTCCGCAGCCTAACACCTGGAAATAAATAGGGTAATTATCACCTTCCTTAGAAACAGAAAAAAAATATTTCAGTAGACTAATAACTCAAGCAACGAAGTTTAAAGTTGAGAAAACACAGTTGAAATTTCCTGTTTACAATGCAAATAGATAAAAAAATAAGACTGGAGCTATTCTTTTAAAATTGTTTTACTTTTTATTCCCGTTGCTGTTTATTCCCTTGACGGAAAAGAAAATCTGATGAATTATTCCATGATCTTTCTTTTTTCTCTTTTTTTCCAAGTAAAAAAAAACTCTCTGATAATTTCTGTTTTTATCTTTTCTCTGTTTATTGCTTCTTTGGTTAATGATGCTTAACTTTTTCTAGAAAAAGAGTAACTGATGGAAAAACTAAACTAAATAATTTTGGAGTGAAACTATTGTCAAGTTCAGCCGAAAAATCTAAATTTAAATTTTTGACAGAGAAGACTCAAATATTAAACCAAATATCGGGATAGGACAAGGACAACAACCTTCAAGGGATCGGCCTAATTTGGTCGTTATTTCGATTATTGTTATGAATGATGCATGAATACATTGAATCAATGGGATTTTAGCCACGGGACCAACTAGATTGCACGTCATTATGACTGATATATTGTTATGGGCGGTATCGTAATATGCAATTTCCACTGCAAGTTGAAAGCAGTTTAGATTACAGTATCATGCAAGATCATAAAAATGTATTTAACTTAAATCATTTTGAGGTTAAAACTACGGATTGCTTTTAGAACTCCTATGCTCCTCTCCATTTCAGGTTGTCACACTTCCATTTGCATTTGGCATTCTCAACTACTTTTTAAGCTGGAATTTTTGTAATTCACTCGTCTAAGTATTGATATTTAAATCTTACTTTTGGGTTTGTCAAGGCATTGTTGCCAGTTTATGCTGAATATCAACACCTTTCTCCATTTGAACCTATGTAAAATACCCACTTTATATTCCACAACCTGGCAACCTTGTCTTTGCTGCTACATCGTGCTGAAAAATCAGCACTTTTCCCCATTTAAAATATCCACATTTTATTTCATACACTGGCAAGCTTGCATACAAAGTTTATACCTGTCAGAAGGCATTTAGGCGGTAATTTCACATCGTCTAGATCAAGAGCTCGTGACTCCCAGGATAGTGTGTGGTAATCGACTCCATCTTTGACATCAGGGTCATCGATTCTGAAATCAGGGACTGGTCGCCATGAGACGGAGTTTTGATTGATGCCACCATGAGGAAGAAGCTCTCCTTCTTGGATCTGGAGATGAATCATGCGATTCCGCTTTGCAAAACGCACACCGGTAACGACTCTGCCAAAAAAAGAAAATTACATTAAAAGGGATCTAAAATCTCCGGCTCGATGAACTCAATTCCTTGACCCTCATGAAACCATCAATATTTAGCTCACACTAAATTACATAGCACTTATTACAGTGCCACTAGTATGAAAAATAACACTTGTTAATTGAAACTTTTGCTGATTTTCGTCTGCTATGTCAGTATTTAAATATGAGCAGCAGGGGTGCAAAAAATATCTAATTTTCGCGCCGCAAAACGTGAGGTTAACTTGGGGCTATGGTTCAATACTCAGAGGAGTTTCATTTTTCTTTTTCCTTAAGGCTTGTTACTTTGAAAGAGCACGGCAAGTTGAACATTTTGCTGTGATGAGCACTTTGCCAAGAAAACAAACAGAATTCTAAGAGACAGACTGGGCATACAACTGCTAGTTGAAAACACTGAATCGCTAGGAACATTCAGTACATTAACGCTTTCTGTGCCTCTTACATGCGTTGCAGCCATCTTCATGGTGAGGGCTAAAACCTTTAGCTACAGCTGAGTTTGGATAAGTTTTCCCTCTTGGAATTTAATTGTAAAAATCCCTCAAAAAAAAAAATAAAAAAAAAAATAAAAATAAAAAAAAAAATAAAATAAAAAAAAAATAAAATGCTGTTTGTGTTGAGAATAATTAATAGCAATTTTTTTCCATACCATAAAGTAAGAGAAAAAGACTAGCAGACATACTTATTGAATGTGGTGTTTGAGGAAGAGGGTCGAAGACTGAAGTAGCGATCAGAGTGGCGGCCAGGCTCATCACAGAGACAAAAGCAGTAGGAGCAATGAAGAACAAGCCATCTCCACCAACTATCCACAACATTGTACTTGCTGCAAGTACCACGCTTGCCCAAAGTTCGGCCATTTTCATACTGAATCCAATTGTACCGTCTCGTGCTTCCAATGTCCTACAAGTTTAACACAAAGAAAGAAAGTTATAATACACAAACCAGGTTAACTACATGGAAGGATCGATGAGATAATGTGAAAAGTAAACAGTTGGATACGTTAAAAATTTACTCTGAATCAATATTTCATATGTTCACCAACTACAGAAAGAAATTCTCAGACTTTACAAGATTCCCCTCACTGAACAGAAAAAGTTTCTGAGTTTTTTATCTAAAATTTACTGAAATGTTATTAAAGAAAAAATAAGAGTTTTCACCAATAATTTAACATTGATCCGAAATTCTCAGTTCTTCTTCAGATTGTTGTATTAAAGTCAAACAAGAAACCTACTATGAGAGTATTTCTAAATTTTATTTTCCAAAATCTTCACTCCTTCAATAAAAACTTATACTTCATGCAGAAAAATTAGAGTGAAAAGAAAATAATCCATTTGCTATTGAAAAATTCATCATTGACTGTCAATTATCATCTTGAACTTTCAGAAGCAGCTGAGGAGGTTAAGCAATTTTTTGAGCCAAACCATGCTGGAAAATACAACAAAATTTCAACACAATGATGGAAAATGGCAACTTGCGTTCTCTTTGTAAATATGTAAAAAAAAAACTCATCCAACTACAGTACCTTTGCACATCTTGTTGGCAATCTTTTCCAGATTTGATTGGATCACTTTCATACTATAATTAGACACGTTTGAGATTCAATTCGAATTTGAAAAAAATCCTTCTATACTTACTGATAAGCATACACCCATGTCAGCATCAACGAACTGACAATTTAGAATTCGACCTGTGCAAGAGGGTTGTCTAGCACAGAATCCGTTCTTGAAGCAACCATGCTGTTTGGCATACGAATAATAGGCGCAATTTTCAGAGCAAGACTCGTCTCCGTTCATGTCGACTTCATTTTGAATGTATCCCTGTTACAAAAATTAATTCAAAAGGGTAAATAAAAATCAACTGAAAAAATAAAACTGGCAAATTTTACAGCTTCCAATAATCAAAAGGGATGAGATTGATTTCCACAACTTTTTATACTAAACAATTCTGAATAGTACCATCATAAGCGCACCTAGGTCATTTTGATAGGGGGACCGGGGGCCTGGACCCTCTACCGCGGGGGGGAGGGGGGTCCAGGAGGCTTCCCACGGAAAATTTTAAATCCATGCAGACAGATTTTAAGGCTTCCGTGACGCAGATTTTCCATCAAAGTCTGCAGAAAAATTAGGTTTCTTTCCTTACTTTCAGCATAAAATACTTTCGAATTGTTGCATTCAACAGATTCGAAACACTTCTGAAATTTGAACTCTATTTGGATGCATTTTGACGGAAATCGAAAAATTTGAAATTATCGCTCGAATTGCGACAAAAATTTTCATTGATGACTTGAAGATTAACTGACTGCACAATAGCGATCTTGCATGCAATTACTACTCTGAGAATCATCGCCCAGAGACTGGGTCTGTTGCACGCAAGAGATACAGCCAACTGAATACACATAGTAGGATGAATTCTCTTGAAGATCACGCTGGACACATCAAAAAAGTTTAAAATCTGCTCCGTATGAAGGAAAATATTCCGGACCTTCTTCTAGAATTTCCGCACTTTTAAGTACTTAACGGGACCACCCTTGAAAAATCAGTATTACTTATTCCAGACTTTCCTGAAATTCCGGATTAGTAGAACACCCTGCTGGTATTTATCTACGCGCCCTGCAAGTTTATGTTCATCGTCAAAGGGGCTGAAGTAATTACCTGTAGAAGTCTTGTAATTTGAGCATAGGTTTCTCCCTCGATGTTTTTGGGCGGATCGCACCTTCTCATTTCATTGCTTGTTGTCTCTAATACTTGACGAGCCATTTCCATCTGCTTGTCAAAACGCTTGTAGAATTTGTTTTTTTCATTCATGGACTCGGTAACAAAATTTCCTGTAATTAGTAGGACAAGTATTTAAAAGAATTATACCATTTCCTTTTTAATCTGGGTAAGAAATAAGTAGGAATATGTTACAAAATAAGTCTACAAATTAAAGACTCAGGGGTAAGGGCTGATAGTCGGCCGAAGTTTAACAAAAACCCGAGACAATTAAACATTCTATACCTCCAAAAGGAGCGTAATCGACATTTATATGGAAATTGTGAAAAAAAAACTCTTGACGTAGAGAGAAAAACAACCATCGCATTTCTAAGAGGAATAGGTAATGATAATCAGCTCTCTCCAATACAAAGAAATGTTTATGAAATAAAATTTAAGTCATACCTATCCACTTAAAATGCACGATTTCTGCTCACATAATCCTGTTTTAACTTTCCGCTCTGTTAGGATGTTTTCACTTTTTCGAGCATTGGAGGAATTAAAACACGACAAACGAAAATTAAATATAACATATTCCGCATTTCGACGGTAGAACTACCAGACCACGCATCTCGGTTTGCGACGTTGCAGAATTCGTGCCATAGTTTATTATTTAAATGGAAAATTACTCGACTCAATTTTTGAAATCTTTCGAGCTTTTTCTTCCCCGTGCGCAGAAAACTCTGTGAAAACTTCAAGGGATAGTATTGCTTTGTTCTCTTCAAAAATATAAAATGGGAGATTTTTAAGCACCGTAAACGAGATACGTGGTTTGGTAGTTTCACCGTCGATTATACTGCCGTGCTAAGGAAGAACGCCGTATGAACATTCGAGAGTTGCCAAATTTCCTCTGAAGAAATGCTTATTTTGAGGAAAGTTATGAATTCTTTTCCTTGAAATTTTCAGGAAATCCGGGGCATATTCTGAACATAATTATCTGAGAAATTGGAATAAAAATATTCACAAACTTTCCTGAAAATTAGTGATTTGTCACAAGGAGTTTGGTAATGCCTGAGGGCTCATACGGCGTTCTTCCTAAGCATGGCAGTATAGTGCATTGCACAATGTATTCTATTACTACTGTCTACCAACACCAACTGCTGTTATAGAATTGACACACTTAAATGACTTTTCACTTGTATTCCCAAAAACTAGGAATCTCTTAGCAAGAACAGGGCGCAATTCTACTAAAAACTATCAATCAAGGCTCAGCAGAGGAATAGGAGGAAGAAAAAATTTCATATTCTGTTCAAAATTATTTGTAAAAGAGCACACACCAAAAAGTTCAGAAAAAACACGAAATCATTGCAACTAAAATACATTAAAAAACAACATGTCCTAAGTGAGATGATACGAGCAGATATTTCAATTTTTTTTCGAGTTACTGCGAGCAAAAAGGGTTTTTATTTCCTCAATTTTTTCGAGGGTTGTTTCTAAAAATTTCTAGAGCATGCATGTTTCTTAAAGAAAATTTTGAAGAAAAATCTGAGAGAAAAAGATCCGATTTGGGGCTCTTATGTAATGCTGGTCCATAGAGGAGTACGAAATTAAGCTACTAGCACTCACCTCTAATTTTTATTTCATATTCATCTTTGGAAATCATGGAAATAAAAGAAACCACATCCTGGTTAAAATCTGGTAATTTTTTTTTTCCTGAGATCAGTTAGGCATGAGCATTAGGTATACGCTTTGCTGATTTTGGTCGTTTCAAGCATGGGTCAAAGGCAACTAATTCAGCTTATCATTCAAGAACAGTTTAGTTGCGGGTGCCTCTACATTTTCAAAATAAGCACCAAGAGCAGTGTAAGTGGTAAAGTTGCTTTCTGCTGATGTCTATTCAAATAAAACGTATTTCAACGTGGGATTGTTGCTTCTGAGCTACAGATAACATAAATCAGATTCAGTTTTTTGATTTTAAAGACATAGTTTCAACTTTCCAATTGTTTTCATGTATGAGGAGTAGAAAAAGTCATTTGACGGAAGTTGTAGAAAACTTGTTTGCTTCTGATTGGTGCCGGATGACATCATTCGGTTCGGCGCGAAACCGGAGCGTTTTATATTTGCGGAAAAGTTGCGCGTTTTGAACTGCGTATTTCTCGGTTTCTGAGTTACTTTTTCGCGCGCATCGTGCTTCACGCGTAATTTGCGTTCAGAAAAATATATGTGCAAGTCAAAATTAGTTTATAGTTTAGTGATCCATGAAGTTCAGTTTAAATTATATGAGATCAGAATCTGAGCTTCTATGATCATGGATAATATTTGAATTATTGATACTTGAACAGCCCCTAAATAGCTTTTCCTCATCAATACGTTTTTTGAACGATGCATTTTAAACAGCCACAACTCCGTTATTAGTTTTGACATTTTCAGTCGTTATTTTTGCTCAAAAATAACGACTGAGCACCCCTTAATGTGGGGATATCAATATTAATTTTGAGTTTTTCAGAGCTGAGATTTCTTGCCCCTTCACGATGATCACACTCATTCATTTTGCCGCGAAACAAACCTACCTTTGCCATAAAGCCGCAGCAACATCCAAGAAAATTGGAGCATGACATATCCTTTCAACTGAACCATGTGTAGGTACGTGTACAAGTTGAAAATCAGCTGCTGAAGCGATTGACCTCCCTGGCACATGACAGCATCTCCGTCCTGGAACAGCAAAGAGCGGACTGATTATTGAATCAATGTTTTCAAAACTATAAATATTTACTTCGAGTGAAGAGTTCAGTGCCCAGAAGAACGACAATGTGTGTGAAGGTTCTTGATCACTGCGAGTGGATACAATAACTACTTAACGCTCATAACGTAACTCTACAGAGAGATCGATCAAGGGGGATCGAATAGATCGTTACGTCATTTTGTTTTTACGCATTTTAAATTTTGTTGCTACGCTGTTTTTACGTTTGTGACATATGCCATAGCGTAAATGCCAGATTTCATTGCTGCTTCTCATTCAACCTCCCCAAATTTAGAAGCTGTGTGTGAACGGGTCAGTAGACTACTGAGGAAACTAAAACAAGCAGGAAGCTCCAACGCATTCGCGTCGGAAAGCGGCTCTGGCGACGGTAGGTAGTTGTTACGCGTTTACGGTTTCCTTGGTAACCTTTGTTTGCTATCAGCTGATGTCGAGTAGTATGACTAGGAAGCTCCAACCACGGCATTCTTCGAAAAAAGCGCGAAAACTTATAGATTTGAATTTTCAAATTTTAAACGTAAAGTACATTTTTTCCAGTGCGAGATTAAAGCACAGACCCGTTTTGAATTATTGACAGTATCACCATGATTCCAAAAATACACTACACAACATAGCATTCGCTCACAGGAAAAAGATATCAATTAAAATAAAATCAGTGCCCCCTAAACAGCAGAAAATGGCGCCGATTCCCATCAACCAACACGCGGTCTCTCCAATGTAACATGGTCCGTTGACACTCCCCAGCTGGGACCGTCCGGAATAGCAGCTCTAGTGCAAGCACCAGAGCCGCTAAAATGTTGTGTTGAGGAAGAATACCCCATGAACAATTCAAATGTAGCCGAACTATCCCTATTTACCATTAATTTAAGAGAGGAATTGAGAATAAAGTTAATTGAAATTTTCAGACACACGAGCGTGAATCGCATTCCACTTGCGTGGCGAGAGAGAGTGCGACCGGGCATAGCCCCTTTGCTGGCCGTGACGGGTGTGCAAAGTGCCCACAGAACGGCTAGTAAATTCTATCCATCGAGCAAGTCCTGTCACAACGTTCTCGCGAGGTTCAAATGGGTTCCCATGAGGATTTCATGGGCAAAATTTGAAAAATTCGCGCAAGACTCATTTCATCTGAAAGTATGTTTTATGGAAGTACACACCATAGAATTGCGATGTTTCTGGGCTGCGATCTTTTCAATGCGTTTTAGAATCAGTAGCTCCGCCGGGAAACCACCGGAAAAAGATCGCGGATAATCCGAATTGTGGATCATCGAAGCGCGGATAATCGAGACTCTACTGTATTATCGAACGAAGTTGATAACTTAGTAGCATCTGAAATAGGGATTTATCGATCGAGGTCATTCGATAGTGCAGTGGAGTCTAGATTATCCGCGGTATAGAGGACCGCTACCGCAGATAATCCCAAACTAAGCTACTCGCAGGCCAAGAAAAGTGATGCATAAGGCTGAGTTCTAAAAGACTCTAGTAAAATAAAATTTGTTAATTATTAGACAAAAATCTAATTATTAGTTAAAAATGAATAAACTATACACGCTGTTAAAAATCCCGGCGCGAAATTCACGCTTACTCAGTTGCTATTTCGACCACCTGTTATACTCTGAGTGCACGGATCCGGCTCGAAATAAGCTCTGCGCGAGTCTCGCGCTCTGGCGGGAGTGAAAATCTGACAGGCAATCGTGAAACGGAACTGCCGCAGCATGGATTTGAGCTCGAGTCGCGGCGGTGGTAGACGAGTGCACTACCACTTAGCCATTCGGCGCTCTTTCCAAATGGCTCTGAATTCACGCTACTTAAGGTACCTCAACTAATTCGTCCGTCGTTGGTGATATTTACGCTCTGATCTATTCACTCAAAGTACGGCGCGAAATTCGCGCTGGATTTTTTTTTTTTTTTTTTTTTTTTTTTTTTTTTTTCACGCCAGCTATTCACTCAGAGTAAATAATTGATTTTTAACAGTGCACTTAAAGAAATTATTTGAGCAAGAATCATTTTTGAAAGTGCGTTTTATCGAAGTTAGCACCACAGAATCGCAGTGTTTCTGGGCTGCGATCCCATCTGTGCGATTCAGAATAAGCAGTTCCGTCGGAAACCACAGAAAAAAGAGCCGCGTATAATGCGAATTGCGGATAACCGAGATTCTTCTGACTTGTCGAATGACGTTGATAAACGCATAGCATCTAAAATTGGATTTATCGAACGCTCTAGGTATAGACGGCTAAAACTATGACGTCAGAGTGGTTTGCGTCTAAAATACCTAAAGCACAGAGCCATGCGCTGAATTCCACACCGCGCTTCATATTTTTCCTCACAACATGAAATTAACGTGGTCAATATGGACGACGATGAAGGGGAGAGGGGAGGAATCCGGAATATTTCAGCTGCATGCCGCGCGACTTATGATGGGACGAGATGGAGGTCCTCCTGGTTCTCGTTTCCGCGCGCCGCGCCACCGCACGGTGAATCGAGTCAATTAAAGAGATCGGACATGAAATTTTTGACAAAAACTGCAAATTTTGATGTTTATTACGTCACATTTCAAATTTCAAGGGGTACTCTGGAAAGAAAATTTCACAAGGAAACCAATGGAACCACTTTAAGAACCTCAAAATTTTGTAAAACGGAGTTATAAGCTATCAAAGTTTCCAAATTTTTTCCGACCTTTCCATCGCCTCGATCCACTGTGCGCCACATGGAAAAATTGGACACATCCATGCTCTAAACAAAAAGAAACTACGTGCAATTTAATTAAATTGAAAAGAAAGTATATACAAAGGATTTGCGAGCTTCATAGTTCATTTTTATAAAATTCATTTGTACTTACAAGGGGAGTCTACGAAGTGACATCCTGGGATTGGGTTCATTTTTCTTGTACATGAAGAAGAGACAAATCTAAGGTTGACGTATTTTTTTTTAGCCGCCACCTCCCAACCGTTCTCGAGATATCGATTTTTAAAGTTACGATTTTTGCACGTTTCCGCGCGGAGTTCCGGCGAGTCAACTGAGCGCCGGCAAGCTGCACGAAGCGCGTTTCCTATAAGCGCTGCAGACCGGCCGTTCTTATCAATAGTTCCGTGGCCGAGTGGTAGAGTGTCCGCCTAACATTCCATAGATCGCGGGTTCGAATCCCGCTTTGAGCCGTAGCTTGTAAGGTACGCCGCAATGCGTTTTTACAAGTTTTCTTTATTTTTATCACACACCAAGGGGTCCGCCCCCTGGCCGCTACGCGGCCCAACCCCCGGGACGAAAAGGCGCGCTTCGCGGCGAGCGAAATCATCGAAATCGACCGTTGACGGTTACTGGGTAAATAATTTTAATTGAATGATAAAATGATGTTTCAAATAAAAATTTCCCACCACACTATATTCTTAACTAGGGGGCTACGCCCCCTGGCCGCTACGCGGCCCAACCCCCTGAAGGCGCTCCGCGCCATCAATGGGCCGCTTCGCGGCCCTATTTTTACCCTCCTATCGGTGTTAGTTTTATTTGTCCCCTAAAAAATTACGATATGAGGTATACTTTAATTTTAAACATTACTTAAAATTACTTTAAAATTAAAAGGACGCGTTTTGGAATGACTGCTTGATGAAATATTGCAGTAAAACAATGCACAGAGATAGTCACAGGTAATCATTAAGACTTCGCGTGGGTCGGGGATCGAACCCACACCGAGTTCAAAATGGACGCTTTCGACGTCTTAGACGACTCGACCACCGCTCGACGTGTGGACACAGGTGCGAATCTTGTGTAGATAAGTGTAGAGCTGATGCGCAGGCTACACAGCTACTGCGCAACCTCCTCGACCACTGCGCATCCTCCCGCGCATAGCGGTAGCAGTACCGGAGCATTCTATAAACTCACTCACTTTTATAACGTGATTTTAAAAAAACCTGGGTCCTTTTTCCAAAATCTGATTACAGCGGGCTCATCTAGGGCCTATTACCTGTCGATTTACGCAAAAATCATGGAAATCGGCCCGGTAGAACGCTCAAACGAACTATGACAAAAAGTATAAATTTACATTGTTTAAATGGGAGAATTCGTAACTTTACCACGTAATATAAAAAAACCTGGGCCATATTTTGAAAATCTGAAAAGAGTTGGCTTATCTAAAGACAATTGCCCGTCGATTGCCGCAAAAATCATGAAAATCGGCCCGGTAGAACGCTGGAACTAAGCGTCACCAGTTTCGCCAAATTAGGAGGTCTTGGAGCTTATAGTATAGATGACTTTTTCCTTACTCTGAATTTGCAAACGTCAACGGTCGATTTCGATAATTTCGCTCGCCGCGAAGCGCGCCTTTTCGTCCCGGGGGTTGGGCCGCGTAGCGGCCAGGGGGCGGACCCCTTGGTGTGTGATAAAAATAAAGAAAACTTGTAAAAACGCATTGCGGCGTACCTTATAAACTACGGCTCAAAGCGGGATTCGAACCCGCGATCTATGGAATGGTTGGCGGACACTCTACCACTCGGCCACGGAACTATTGATAAGAATGGCCGGTCTGCAGCGCTGATAGGAAACGCGCTTCGTGCAGCTTGCCGGCGCTCAGTTGACTCGCCGGAACTCCGCGCGGAAACGTGCAAAAATCGTAACTTTAAAAATCGATATCTCGAGAACGGTTGGGAGGTGGCGGCTAAAAAAAAATACGTCAACCTTAGATTTGTCTCTTCTTCATGTACAAGAAAAATGAACCCAATCCCAGGATGTCACTTCGTAGACTCCCCTTGTTAGTTCATTCTAGCATGAACACGTCTGATTAATGAGGAGGCGGAGAAATACTTATGTCAACTTCAGTGGCGGCAATTTTTGCAAGATGGCCACACTCGATTTTTCCTGAATTTAAATGTATATAAACAATCGATTCGCGGTGAGACGGGCTGCCAGATCGAGAATCTATATTCATACCTAAAAAATTGAAAAGGAGGAAAAACATATTTTTCCT